AAAGAATGGGCTCGGGCTGCCAGTCTTTCTATAGCCCGCATATCCTCATTCGGAGCTCTGTAGATGCCTACAATTTCCCATGTACATTTAGGGTCTCTGCCTTTCACTTCAACTGCAATCATTTCGAAATCCTCGTCCACCCATAGTTCCACGCAAGCAATGTAATTCTTTACACAAATAAACACTCCAGCACCTCGAGTATTCCTATCTCTCCTGAAAGTTGTGTACTCCTCCCTAAAAACTTCGGCATTGCTAATTTCCTCTCTGAGTCATGACTCCGTACCTATTATAACATCGGGATTATATGTATAAATTAAATTCCAAAATTCTAAAGATTTATTAAGAATACTCCTGCAATTTACCTGAAGCAAAACCAAAGAATTGCTCTCTATCTTCTGTGCCCCTCCCGTAGCTACACAACCATCACTTATGTCTTCCTGTCCCCTTGTCGTCGCCCCGGTTAGCGTCGGATCCTCGGTAATCGTGTTCATGAACTTATTCTGGTTAAAAATGAACTAAAATGTGCCCTAAATTTGAGGTTCTCGTGGCGTAACTATGAAGGGACTACCATCATGCCCCATCTGAGGTTCTCACAGCGTTGGTCGTGAGTTCTGTTTTCTGGCACATAATTTCGTATACCTCGTTGAAAATCAGCTGATGTTTCGCAAGATTATGTCGCCTATATCTTCAGGGTCGGAAAATATGCCAAGCAAGAAACCACCATGAAGCACGTAACAAGCAGAACTCCCTTTTCCTTTCTCGCTTGCCTTATTCTTCGGCCGGCCGCGCCATAGCTCAAGCGGTTAGTCGCTGGCTTCCCACCGCGGCGGCCCGGGTTCGATCCCGGATCTGGTCAAGTGGGATTTGTAGTGGATAATGTGGCGCTCAGGCGGGTTTTCTCCGAGTACTTCGGTTTCCCCTGCAAATCTTCATTCCACCAAATTCTCCATCATCATAATCACCCGGGACAGGCTACAATAGGCCAATCAGTGGCCGCCGTTTCGAGTGGACTCAGTTGGACTCCACCCCCACTAAGCGAAGAGAATATTCTTCGGCCATTAAAACTGAGGCGACATCTCCCTCCTAGATGTCGATGGGCTTTCAACATGGCGTTATATCCCAGAAGACAGAAACTGTTTGTAAATTGGTTTAACTGAAAAGTACATCGAATCACAAGCGTTACGAATGCGAACGGTATTACGCGAACATTCTTGACTGAAGGCAGCATGAAGATATTGGGTTTATTTGCTGTACGAACGGGGTACGTCACTCGAAGATCGTCCCAAGAATGGCTCAGAATGCGTCCTATAAAAGGGGAATAATTTTTCTCGTTAGACGAAAGTTCCTCAAAAAGCCCGTGACAATGTAACGGGATAAACTAATAATAAGAAATAAAAGCTGTGACGTCACAACAATTATTGGATTTGAGGTTCTCAGAACGATGAATTTCTGGATTGATAAGCCGTGTAATCTGGTAGAAATCATCCGAAGTTTCTCCGAAAAGTAGGTGGATTTATAGCTAACAACACAGCGTTACGACCCAAAAAGATAGCATTCGTCAAAATAATTAATCCCTCTCTCCCAGGCCCTACAGCCCTCCGGACCTTGGCAGCTTTTTCGGTTTCCTAATCCTATATACAATCGGTAGGACTCCTTGAATGGAGGATCAGCCCTTCGCAAGACCGCTGTCTACACACAGAACATCACAAAAACAGAACAAACACACACAGACATCCACATACTCTCCAATTCATCATTTGTTATCATTAATCATTCTACACTATTTAGTCTGTTACAGACAGCGACGTTAAATAAATTACGTCGTAGATAGTGATTCTGATGTTGAATCTCTGTTATTTTATTCAGGCTCATGTGAACAGAGGCTGACCAGACGTGCACATAGCGAAGCCATTCAAACACGTTCAGTTACCCTTCTGTAATTATCACGAAAACCGTGAGACTTGGCTGAAATATGTACTGAACATAAAATACGTCACTACATTTTCTCTACATATTTCATTCCAAACATCTTTCACTCCAGTAAATATTTAAGAAGTTACTAGGTGTAGAGAGGCTGTAAATCTATTTAGGTTCCTGCTGTCACCGTACAGTCTGACAGGGACCTGCAACAGTGTGCAGAACTGCACTTTTCGTGACTGTACAGGAACATTTTTTAGCTTACTGTAGGTGTAGAGAGGCTGTAAAGCTATTTAGGTTCCTGCTGTCACCGTACAGTCTGACAGGGACCTGCAACAGTGTGCAGAACTGCACTTTTCGTGACTGTACAGGAACATTTTTTAGCTTACTGTAGGTGTAGAGAGGCTGTAAAGCTATTTAGGTTCCTGCTGTCACCGTACATACAGTCTGATAGGTACCTGAAACAGATGTAAGGCTATGTAGTCTGGTATTTGCCGACGTTCCTCCTGACAAACTAAACGGCGTCATATCTGAGACGTCAGCAATGTTCATAGTCACCACCATGAGGACCTCACTCATGGAACTGAGCCCTTCTTGAGAAGTTGCCAATTGTGCAGCTACTCAAGAACTTCCCAGCATTTTATGGAACCTGAAGGTTCATTACCGTGTTCACAAGAGTCCTTCACTGGTCCCTATCCTGAACCGGATCATTCCAATTCATACCATCCCATCCTATCTCTCTAAGAACCATTTTAATATTGTCCACCCACCTACGTCTTGGTCTTCCCAGTGGACATGAGGACAGTTGTATGTCAGTTAGCTTTTTCTCAATAAAGCATTATGTGACGTCTAAGTGAGTTGAATGTTTAAAATCTGGAATACTTTAATTTGCAGGAATCACGAAATGTCAAGTGAGAACATGGCGTCCCTGTCACTGGAAGACGGTAGAAGCATTGTAAACCTGCTGGAGTGTCCAGTGTGCCTGAGTACAATGAAGCCCCCAATATTCCAGTGTCAGAATGGGCACAGCGTCTGCAGTGAGTGCAAACCAGGACTGCAGAAGTGTCCTACATGCAGGGGGGCTTTGATCGACACCAGGAACCTACTCGCGGAAGAACTTGCATATAAAGTAATATACCCTTGCAAAAACACGGTCCGCGGATGTTGTGAGAAAGTGTCCCTTGAGGACATGAAGAAGCACGAGACTGCTTGTCCACACAGGAAGTATGAGTGCCTTGTGGCCAAGGAGAATGGCTGTGCCTGGACCGGATGTCGCTCAGACATACTGCGTCATATGGAGGAAAAGCATGATAAATACATATACAGATCAGATCTTTGTTCATTCAAATATGAGGAGTTTAATTTCCTTCAAGAATGTAAATTTTCGTGCATATTTTCTTCTTGTGGGGAGATATTCTGGTTCAGATCTAAACGTGATCCTGAAAAAAGGAAACTCTATGAAGTAGTCCAGTACATAGGACCAAAAGAAAATGCTTCTAAATATGCATACGAGCATAGGTTGGTGTCACCATCTGGTGACCAGAAGTTGACTTTCATTAATGTTGTAAAAAGTGACACAGATGAGCTTAAGAACATATATGAAATGCGAAAATGTTTCATAATAGATTATGACACGTTAGAGATATTTACACAAAATGGCAAAACATTTGAATACAAAATTAAGATGTGCAGACAAAAATGACAATAGCGATCATGTTTAATCATCATTTTAGAAATCATAAAAGGTTTGTTTAGCAGAAAAATTTTAAAACTTGTTGTATATTACACAGATATCAGTGCGTTTTTAGATATAGTCCATCTGCTCTACGAACCAGGGTACGTCATACCTCGCGCTGGCAACCTTACGGAAGAAAATTTCTGTGCAAGTATGTTTGAATTTCCCATTGGCTATGAATACAGGATGTATGTTGAAAACAGAATGTCGCGCAACTTTATGAAAATGATGCAACGATCTGCGTCACTAACTGACGATGACGCGCCCTCGTTCCTATAGCAGATTGAGTATATCATTGTGTATTTACGAGTATATCCTCAACGAAAATATATACATATTGCCAATTTAGGAACTGTACACAAAGCAAATTTAACCCCATGCCAGCAAGTCTATGCTTCCAAAATTGAGTGCCATAAACTAGGATGTTATTCATGAGTGCAAAGCAATTAGGGAAATGTGACGCCGCCGGTCACGGTAGCCGAGAGGTCTAAGGCATGCACTGTCTTCACTCGCTCGGAAGCCGGGATCATGGGTTCGAATCCCACTCAGGGCATGGATGTTTGTGTGCGTTTTTCTGTGTTTGTCTACAGGTAGAGGCCTTGCGACGAGCTGATCACTCGCCCAAGGAGTCCTACCGTATGTGTAAGATCTAGAAAAACCGAAGTGAACGGAGAAGTTCATGGAGGTAGGCCTAGGCCCACTGGGGCTGTAGTGCCAAGGAAAAAAAAATGTGACACCACAACATCTCCAAGTTTTTATGAATGCTACAGCCTCCATTGCGAACTTCCTTATAAATATAAGAAAACTAGCTTGTTACTAATAATACAAATTCCACCGTCAACGCAACTATAATTTATTAACTTATGTTTCACTACATGTTTCGACCCTTATGGGGTCATCCTCAGGTGTTGTGATTTATACATTTTCATTATTGAATTGTAAAGTGGGTATTCATATTTACATACACAAGCTTGAAATGACTACTTTCTATGTAAATTTATATTCTAACTGCTAGATGTTGATTTAAATACAAAATATATATGAAACTAAAAGTTAAAATTTAAAAATAATGAGGAAAGTCTAAAATACTGTCACGGGCCTCAAATCTATGCCACTCCGTGTATAAACTAATTGGCCCTTATGTTCATATACAGTTTCAGACCGTAAACGCACGGAAAGTGCTTCAGAATGCATCACAGTTTATTTATTTGCGGTCCATTTAATGAGACTGTGACTAGCAAAGGCCGTAGCGCCCAATGACTGACGAATAATGAACTGGAAAGTGTGCTGAACGAAATGGTCGTAGCCTACTTTGAACTACTATACCGACATTTACATGGAAGCACTGAGTAAAACCACGAAAACTTGGGATATTCGATATTCCGTCCGAAATTCCGATGATCGGACTGATATGTATGAACTGTCGTACAGATGCGAGTGTTTTTTTTTATGCTAGTGGGGTGGGACTAAGTCCCTTGTACTGCGGCCACTTCTGGATTATTGTACCAACCCCAGATGATAGGTGAGGGTGATTGTGGAACAATTGGTGGAACGAAGATTGGCAGGGAAACCGAAGTACTCGGAGAAAACCTGCCCCAGCGCCACTTTTTCTGGCACAAATCCCACTTGACCAGACCCGGGATCGAACCAGGGCCGCCGCGGTGGGAAGCCAGCGACCAACCGCTTGAGCTATGGCGCAGATGCGAGTCTAATGGAAGTGCCTGCGAACCCTGTTCTGATGACGTAACACCACTCACTATCTTATCAGCCAGGCGCAATGCTGTGGACTTCTCAACTGTGCTGACAGTGAATAGGATCACGTGATAGTATTCGCTCGTTTCTACGTACGGACTACTGTGGTAAGTCAGGAAGTAACATAATTTTCTGTCCAGGAATTCAAGATTTATAGCCAGGGAATATCAGATTTGTAAATAAACATCTCTGTAAGTATACCAGTGTTTCAAGAGGAACAGCAGGACTGAAGGAAAGTAGGGATATCCCCAGCCATACGTTTTGCTTTGTTAAGAATCGAACCAGAGGCAAGAGATTTTAATCTTCACCAAAGCTTCTAGAATGGCTATGGGGCTCACCCAATCTGCTATAAAATGGGCTCCGCGAAGTAAGGAGGCCAAAGTCAAGAATTAATGGAGCTTATGCCCACGTCTCCGTGGCGTTGTGCTTAATTAATCAAAAGGACAACTTTACTTTTACCTTATCTTCCACATACGTAATGAGCGCAGCGCGCTCTTGAAACTTTCCTTTCAAATTATCACATCTGCTCTTGAAACGTGTGTTAACAGGCCAACCTTTAGGGCAGGGGTCTCCAAACTTTTTGAACCGCGGGCCACATTAGGTAATTCAGCACTTTGAACGGGCCGGATAAAATGAGAAACTAATTACTCTAGGTATATGAGTTTTGTTGAAAGCACAGAATTTCCTAAACTAAATACAAAGTACGTGAGAATAAATTATCGTATATTAATGACAACAGACAGTAGCAGCAAATGCTCATATTTGCATCACAAATTATATTAAAACAATTAATGTGAATGATGGAACTCTTTTTTGCATTCTTAAAATCTGATTAAATTGAGGTTCAAATTTTGAAACGCTAATCACAAGTAATGACTTTAAATGTTCATTGGATAAATTTGCCCTGTATTTCGACTTGATGTACTTCATCTGGGAAAAAAGTTTGTTCACACAGATACGTCGTCCCAAAAATGGAGATAAATTTACAAGCAAATTTCTTTCAATTTGGAAACTGCTCAGAGTTCAGAAATTTATAAAATTCGATCAAATTTCCTTCCTTGTATTTGTCTTTAATATGATAATTTTCCTGAAGTTCAATAATTTCCATTTGAATCTGACATCTGCAGCATCACAGTCAAACGGATTTTGAAACAATCTAATTTCCTAATCACTGGAATCCAAATCAGCAAATCGCTTCCGAAATTGTTCTTTCAAATCTAAAATGACTAAATTTACAAACGAGGAAGGAAATTCTGCTTCACCCTTTTTATGCAACTCTGCACAGTATAGCATATGAACAAAGTTACAATTTTTCACTTGTCTTTCCAGAAGTATCAACTTTGCTCTGAATGCCTTGATAAGTGCAAATAAATCACAGATTAAGTTATTTTCACCCTGCAACTTTAAATTAAAATGGTTCATATGGTTCACCAGATCAGCAAAGAATGCTAATTTCCAAAGCCACTCGGTATCTGATAAAAGTGTTTCGTGATGGTTTTTTCGGTAAGAAATATATCAGTTTCATTCCTGAGCTGAAAGAAGCGCGAAAGAACCTTTCCACAGCTAAGCCATCGAACTGCAGTATAATATGTCAGGTCAATAAGCTCGGAATCACATCTACCAGTACTCACTGGAAAATTAGTTCAATTGGAGCATTTCTGCACAATTCTTTCGCGGGCCGGATAAAATCACATTGCGGGCCGCATGTGGTCCGCGGGCCGTAGTTTGGAGACCCTTGCTTTAGGGTAACACACTCTTAGTCCCTTGTTGGTGACACGGGTTAGATTACTTGTGGGGCCTCGGAAAGTAAAGTTTCATTTGACTAATCAACATGCGAGGGGCACGCAGTAGTGTGGTTGGTTGAGGCACTATGCTACAAGCCGGAAGATCGCGGGTTCAGTTCCCGATGAGGTCATTAGATTTTTTTAAATGACCTAATCCTTCCAGCCGCACTTTGGCCCTGGGGTCGACTCAGCCTTTAATTGAAATGAGTACCAGGAATCTTCCTGGTTGTAAAAGGCGGCTGGTGCGTGAGGCAGACCTCATCGCCACCTATGAGCCGATTGTCTAAGAAAGGTTCGAGCCTCGACGTCTCACAACCCAATGGGCCTCCACGGCTTGTTACAAGGATAGTTTAACCTTTTTAATGTTACATACGCTGATCACACTGGCCGCGCGGTCTAAGACATGAAATGTCTTCGTTCGCTCGAACACTGGGATCGTGGGTTCGAGTCCCACTCAAAATATGTATGTCTGCGTTTATTCTGTTTGTGTAATCCTGTGTAGGCAGCGGCCTTGCGATGGGCTGATCCCCCGTCCAAGGAACCCCACCGACTGTCTATGAATAAGAAACTGAAGTGAAACGAGGGTTTCACAGGTCCTGAAATTACCAGTAGCAATTGTACAGTAATATGGCGTCGAGCGAGGTAGGTTGCAGTCAAGCAAGAAGAAGAGACAGGGATACAAAAGATGATAGTCGTCTAAAGGTAAGTGTACAAGATCTGACTGGAGGGTTTGTGAAAATTCATTAAATTCTTCGATGAGGATAACCTGTAACCCGACTTGATATTGGAACCTTCCGAATACAAGCCCAAGCAATTACTGATCACCAGTCGGCAAATCAGATGCTTCTTGTTGAGCAGTTCTGTCTTCTGTGATATAAAATTACGCGTTTAAGTGAAAAGACACGGGGTTTGAATTCGTAAAGGTCTTTATTGGGCTTTTATAAACCGTAACTATAAGCAATTACAAAGCTATCGCTAATACACACATTTAACAATTCATTACAGCATGCAGTCGGTCTTCTTCTTATTTGTCTTTGGCCTCCTTGATAACAGCCTTCCAACTATCTCTGTCTTGTACCTTCTTCCATGAAGCTGTGAGTTTTAAACTATAAGATCCAAGCAATACATCATCCAGCCACCTTAATTTTGGTCTTCCTTCGTTTCTACTGCCTTCTGGCTGGGAGAAGGTTAATCTCTTGCAGAGCAAACTTTCATCCATCGTTCTGATATAGCCTAGCCACTTTAGTCTGTTTATTTTTATTGACTGAACTGTATTTTGTTCTTTGAATCGTTTACTAGCGTTTTGAAGAAAAATTCTGCCTGAATCTTCAGATATGAAGAGTAAACCAGTCAACCTGAAAGAAGCAAACAGTAAGCAGTAAACTTGTTGCAGACAACGCGACGTCACATCTCAGAAGGCGGTACTCAATGGATGCTGACTTGTTTAACAACGATCTATTAAATCTGAGAAAGTACACCGAAGACGTGGGTGTGGATCGGAGTATTTATACTAGAATCGATGTCAAAGACGAGGCATGGGAGGTTCTTGACTTCAGAATCGTACTGCAGGCGACGGGCCTTTGTGAACACGATAATGAAATTTCGGAAATTGCTGTGTAGTCCACCCGACTGTACTAGACTACACTGCGCCACACCTCAGAAAGCAGCCTCGTCGTAGTCACCTTCATGGGCCTTCCAGTTCCATAAGTAGGGGGGAAATTCTGGAGTACCTGAGCGGCTGTTACCTTCTTCATGGAGTTAGGTTCTGAGCATTATTTCTAACGGTATGCGTCATCGAATGNGAGAAACTCACGGAAGACAATGTTACGAAGTATCTTGGAGGCTTCAATTATAAGACGGGAAGTGGCTTTTCCTGTGTAATATTTCTAACAATCATTTTCCTTTTCGGCGAGGAGCTGAATAACTGAATGATAGGTGGCTTCTCAAGAAGAGTTGGGCTCCATGGAGTTACTTAGTTATAATTGGATTGCATTGGCCCTTTTGATGTACAATTACTTAATATGGAACTCCTTGCTTGTCGGCCGATCGAAGGAGAACTATACAATGAGTTAATTCCGTGTCTTTGTTTCGTGTTTTATTTTGCAGGTCCTGACAGTATCGACTGGTAACTCAGGTGCGAGTGATGGCAGTGTCCAATGGTGATATCTGCGTGTGGACCTGCACGCACTGTTCCCATGCATCCAACCCTTCGTGGTCAAATCACTGTGGCCAGTGCAGCCAGGCAAAGGACAACCAGCTTCCAGCAGGCAAACGAAGATGGATTTGCGACATCTGTACCATACTGAATCATGCTGCGGCCATGCTCTGCGATACTTGTGGAAGAGAAAAAACAAGAACAGCTCCTCTGGAATGTAACACCTTAAAGAAAGGACAATATTGGTCATGTAGCAAGTGCACCCTAAAAAATTCTATTCACCAGCGGAAGTGTAAGGCTTGTGAAACTGTAAGAGTTACTATAGAAGGTCCGAAATCGAATGGTACAATGCTATCACATGATGGTATTAAAGCTCGTCCTGATATACCAGTACATGTCACCGGTCAACGTGCAGTGGTTAATAAGAAGACAGCGACACCCAGAAATGAACAGAAATCGTGGCAATGCACTAAGTGTACATACAAGAACATTGAAACAGCGGATATTTGCAAGGTATGTAAAAATTCAAGAACTGATAGTTTCTCCGATCTAAGCTTCATAAGGGCTAAGAGTTCTACCCAACTCAAGGCCGCCACAGTCAAACACAAAAGCGAACTCCTGGATGTTCTGAGACTCATTGAAGAACAGAAAGCAACAGAGACGAGAGATTTTATCTTGACATACTGCATGTTGAATAATGAGCCTTTTGTAGACGACTCATTTCCACCAGCTCCAAAATCGCTTTACTACAAACCAAGCAAATACAATGAAACTAGTGTTTCAAAATGGCTTCGTCCAAATGAAATTAAAATGGACGGCGACTCCAGCCTAAACTGGGCTGTATTCCGAAACCCATCACCTTCTGATATAACACAAGGCATTCTAGGAAACTGCTGGTTCCTGAGCTCATTAGCTGTTCTGGCAGAGAGAGAGGACTTGGTGAAAAATGTTATAGTGACACGAGAAATATGTGAGCATGGGCTTTATCAGGTGCGGCTGTGCAAGGACGGAAACTGGACCACAATTCTCGTTGATGATCTTTTACCTTGTGACCAGTATGGACGACTAGTCTACTCTAAAGCTAAAAGAAAGCAGTTGTGGGTACCACTTATTGAGAAAGCTGCGGCAAAAATTCACGGTTGTTATGAAGCACTGGTGTCGGGTAGGGCAATTGAAGGACTGCGTATTTTGACAGGGGCACCATGTGAAACCATAAACTTACAGCCGCTGCCGGGTGAGGACCTAGACCATAACCTGACATGGGCTACGTTACTAAGTTCTCGTTCTGCTGGGTTCCTGATGGGTATATCCTGTGGTGGGTCTAATGTGAATATCAACAATGATGGATACAAATGCATGGGACTGAAACCTAACCATTCGTATTCTGTACTGGACGTCAAACATGAATATGGAAACCGTCTGCTAAGACTTCGTAATCCATGGGGACATTACTCGTGGAATGGTGACTGGTCAGATGATTCTGTGACCTGGACACCGCACTTAAGGAAACTGCTTTCACCTAACAGTTCTTCTGAAGGAATCTTCTGGATATCATTTGAAGATGTCCTCAGATATTTCGACACAATCGACATCTGCAAAGTAAGGTCACATTGGAATGAAGTACGTCTATCAGGAATGTTTCCTCCATTATCGTCGTCCAACCACTTGTCATGCGTACTCCTCACTGTTCTTGAGGCGACTGAGGTAGAGTTAACACTCTTCCAACAAGAAAACCGGATGTCAAAGAACTGTAGACTGAATCTGTGCTTAGCTGTGTATCGTGCTCCATCTTTCCCACTGTCCCATATTGGACATCTGATGGGGAACAGTAAAGGCCAGATGCAGAGTTGCGTTGGCTGTGAAACAATGCTTGAACCTGGACATTACATTGCCGTCTGCATGGCTTTTAACCACTGGGACATGTCAAGAGTAGAACCCAATCAACCTGCACCAGAATATGTCCTAGCAATCCATAGCTCCAAGCACCTTCTTGCCGAACAAGTGTCTGTTGAAAGATGCTTGATAGGTGATGCACTTATTGGTTTAGTGCTTGCCAAAGGACATAAACATAATGCTGTTGAAGGTGTGACGATATACTCTTTGACGAAGTGCTGGACTGGCTTGGTTATCGTGGTCGAAAATCGACACATGAATAAGTGGGTCCATGTCAAGATCGACTGTAGTGACAGTTGCAACTTGGTGTCAACTCGTGGAGTGTTCCTAACAGCAGATGCGGTTCCGCCACTGCATAGACAAGTGATTATAGTGCTCTCCCAGCTGAAGCACAACATGTCTGTGTTGTCAGACTTCAGCATGAAACATCGATTGGCAAGCTCCAGCACTCTTGGGGTCTGGGGAACTGGACGTAACTGTCCACCAATAGATGGTCACCTGCAGGGCCTACATGCACCTCGGCTGATAATATGACCAGGTTCATAATGAATCCTTAAACTTACATCTAACAAGCTTGTTTTTGCATTGAGCGTTAGTCAATTTGACACAACACTTGCTACAGTAAATTTATTTCCCCTATTGCCTATCACCAATTCCATGGCGCATCGCTGTCTGTTGAAACTAACTGGCAACCACAAAGACTACAATTAAGTCACACAAAGAAAGTGACTCATCTAGAGTCAAGGTCACTACCCTCTACTCTCCATACATCTTCATAGCGTGGTGCTTTATGAATTAGGCGAAGGGATAACTTTAACTTAAGGAAATTTTTTGTAGACTGGCAATAATAATCCACTGGAGCTAGGCATATATGATGCTTGTAAAATTAACAGTACTTCAATATATTTTGACCTAGTACTCTCTGTAACACAAGAATCTATTTTATATGATCTGTGTACAATTTTTGTAACACAGTCGATCCTTCAGAATGAAAAATAATTACCACTCAAATTACATATTTGATTCTAAAGGATTAACTAACTTAAAAGAACCATGTCCATAGTGCAGAATTCTTCTTGAGAAGACAATGGCCATTCTACTATTCAAGGAATTCTCTACCTTTTATGGAATCTTAAGGTTCACTGCTGTGTTCACAGGAGCCCAAAACTAGTCTCTGTCCCTGTGTCCCTGTGTTAACTAATTAAGCACTACATCATGAAGGCGTATGGGGGAGTGGGTGTATAGATCCACATTTTCTTGACCTCTGTTCTAGCTGGGGGTGAGTGGTCAGCTTCAAGCCCTGCCTGCTTTACCTCTAAGGAAAGAGCCCCCGGTACCCATTGGATAGGAGGTTGGATGGATGCCAGAGCCAGTCTGGATGATTAAGAGGAGAGGAAATTCTTGACCCCACCTGGACTCAAACTCCAACCTCTTGGTCATTCAGCCTGCAGCTAGTCGCTATACCAACTATGCTATCCCGGCTCAAAATAAATAAACAAATTTGTTTTAAAAAAAAGTTGACTACTATTGTGATAGGTGCTAGCTTCATGACATTTTTAATAAAATGCCGCAAAGCTTTAACCAACTGTCATTCCCTGTGAAGGAAATTATTCTATTTCTCCATCTGCTCTAGATCATTAATATTTATGTGACCCCTGGTTACAGCATTTCCAAATATAGGTCTGGATGATTGTTCTTAAACTGATTTCAGAAGCTGTTCACCAGTTTCTAAGGTAAAGGTAAAGCTATCCCTGTAACAGGCTGTGGAAGCTACCCACATTTTATAAGACAGTTGTCTCAGATTGTGGCAAGGTTGTCAACCTTACACACCAGCCGCCCTTTACCCGGAGGAAGACTCCTGATACTCACTTCTGTTAAGACACTGAGTAGACCCCAGGGTTGTAGTGCAGCTGGAAGGATTAGGTCAATTGAAAAATCCAGTGACCTCATCAGGAAATGAACCTGTGATCTCCAAGCTTGTAGAAACCAACTACACTAGCTGGAAGGATTAGGTCAACTGAAAAATCCAATGACCTCATCGGGACTCAAACCTGTGACCTTCTGGTTTGAAGCATAGTACCTTAATAAACTATGCTACCACGTGGCCCCTTTGTCAGATTGTACCCTAAGTAAAGATTTCACTTTAAATGCAATAACTCAGGTCACCTTCATTACTTTATTTTAAATAATGATCAATGTGTATGGATACTACTTTCTTAGGGGTTTGACTGTTTAACCAAGGACTACCAAATCACATGTACAAAGATAATCTCATGGCATGCATGGAAAAGCTGCACAGCTGAACAAGGATATGTTTCCAATTATCAATAGAACCTCCGTCGAGTGTAACAATATATATTCTTGTCACCATTTTCTCACATTTGCCTTACATGTTTCGGCTCACAAAGAGCCATCATCAGAGGCAACCACAACAAAAACATGGAAACACTTGCACTGCTCAACAATCACAATATACAGTTTTTTGTGGAAGATGTTACACGTATCGGAGCGTAAAACACAACAACATCCAGTACCCCGAGTGCGGGTATCCCATTTGCATTTAAAATATCACCCACAAAGCGGGTCGTTAATGTTAAAATTAAAGTTAAAACCGTCCAAGTAAAATATTCAGGTTCCTCTTAGTGGATAGTCCCAATGGGGGAGGCGTCAGCACGAGGTTGTGTGGGCTGCAAAGATATTGTATTACGTTAGGTTTTATC